GGGGGGGCGTGTGGCTGCTCCCCTCTAGCGCACACACCAGTTGCACAAAGCTGGCTGAGCAGAGTTGGGATTCCCCACCCATGTCACGCCCCTCCAGCCTGGCCCCCTGCCACACTCCGTGGGCATCACCCCCCGAGTCTGAGAGGGGATGCCTCATGCCCATAGCAACAGTACCAAGCTTCCCAGGTTTAAACCCTTCTGACAGCTCTGGGTAGCCACATTCTGCTTAGGCGCATCCCTTCCTTCCAGATTGGCTGAGCAGAGTTGGGATTCCCCACCCATGTCACGCCCCTCCAGCCTGGCCCCCTGCCACACTCCGTGGGCATCACCCCCCGAGTCTGAGAGGGGATGCCTCATGCCCATAGCAACAGTACCAAGCTTCCCAGGTTTAAACCCTTCTGACAGCTCTGGGTAGCCACATTCTGCTTAGGCGCATCCCTTCCTTCCAGATTCCTGCCGAGTGCTTGTCCTCAGCGCCCTCTTGTGTCAGGGGGTTCCACAGGCCAATCGGGCACCTGCTATTTCCCAGTCTCCTGGGCTGTGTCTAGACTGGCATGATTTTCCGCAAATGCTTTTAATGGAAAAGTTTTCCGTTAAAAGCATTTGCAGAAAAAAGCATCTAGATTGGCACGGACACTTTTCTGCAAAAGCACTTTTTGTGGAAAAGCGTCCATGCCAATCTAGACGCGCTTTTGTGCAAAAAAAGCCCCAATCACCATTTTCACCATTGGGGCTTTTTTGTGCAAAACAAATCTGAGCTGTCTACGCTGGCCCTCCTGAGCATAGTATTTCCGCAAGAAGCACTGATTTCTTACATGAGATCGTCAGGGTTCTTGCAGAAAATCAAGTGGCCAGTGTAGACAGCTGGCAAGTTTTTCTGCAAAAGCAGCTGCCAGTCTAGATGCAGCCATGGAGTTTAAGGCCAGAAGAAACCACTAGAGAATCCAGTCTGACCTTCTCTGCACCCCAGGCCAGCCAGTGCAACCCAGGCACTCCTCTGCTGAGCCCCGGGGCTGTTACAGCAGCGCATTCCAGTCTTCTCGGCAGCGACCAGCAGACACCAAGGTGCCAGCATCTTCCTGAGAGCTGAGTGTCTGCTGCCACTTGCACTGGCTGGGAACCCCGCTAACTAGGGATGGAAGCTGGCCTGGAAGTATCTAGGGGAATGCATACATTACCCCCTAGTTCGAACTAGGGGGTAGTGTAGACATGCCCTAGCTTCCTTTCCATGGAGCTGCCTGGGAGCCAGGCCCGGGGCCACAAGGGACCATACCTGTTCTACAGAGCGTGGCTCCTTCCTGAGACTCAAGCCAGGCAGGGAAACCTACAAGCCAATGAAACATGCCCAGCTGGTAACGGAGACACAGAACCTGGCGTTTGCAGGCCAGGGAACCCCAGCAAACCCGAGGGGTGGGGGGCATGTTCCTAGCCAAACCCCTGCTGGGACCCGCCCTGCGAGGCAGCTGCTTCCCTTGTGGCTTTTCCAGGCCAGGGAGCATCAATCCAGAGGGGTCAGCCTGCCAGCCCAGCGCCTGGTCCCTCTCCAAGCCCAGGCATGGCAGCCCAGGAGGAGAGGCAGGTGGACCATGTGGCCCGTGGGAGAGGTACTCACCCTTGGCTGGAGGTTGCTGCTCGCTCTGGCTCCAGGCTGGGGGCCAGCTAATTTATAGCGTGCTTGTTGAAGCCCTGAGCCCTCCTTTCCCAAAAGCAGCTCCATCAATGACACAACCTCACCGTCCCAGCTCAAAGTCCAGGCAAACACAGCCACTCTGGCCTGGCGACTGATCGACCAGCTCCACACAACCCCCTCCCACTGCCGCCGGGTGGGACCGAGCCCTTCAGAACCCCACCACCGAGCCCTTCAGACCCTGTGGGACCGGCCTTAACCCCCCCCCCAGGAGCCTGTCCTTCCCCCCAGGCCACTCCCCCACCTCTCAGCAGAGCAAAAGAGCCCCCCAGTCCTGTTCACCTCAGCTGCTTCTCCCTGGCCCCTCAGCACTGCCCCGGGTGTGGTCCAGATCCGGTCCCACTGCCAGCTCGGCTCAGCTCAGGGAGCGCGGCCCAAGGATGACCCATGGTGCCAGGGCAGCCTAGGCCACATCCCACTTCAGCCCATGTGCTGGGCCTCTGCCCTGGGGCATAGCCCCATCCCCTCTAGCTGAGTGGTCTGAGGCTATTGGCTGCCCCACCCTGCCCCCACCTCATGACTGCCGATGCCCCTTGATGGGAGGTGAGGTGTGTGGATGGGTCAGGCCGAACAGGCACACTGCTCTTGGTGACTTTTATTAGCAAGGCATCTCTCTTCAAGGCATAGGAAGGGAGCCAGGACTCCTGGGTTCTCTCCCAGCTCCGGGAGGGCAGTAGGGGCTGGTGGTTAGAGCAGGAGCAGGGGCCAGGACTCCTGGCTTCTCTCCCAGCTCCGGGAGGGCAGTAGGGGCTGGGGGTTGGGGGGAAACCCTGGCTTCCTTTTCCAGCTGTGCTGCTGGCCCCCTGTGTAACCAGAGAGACGGGTGGCTGGGTCATGGGCCAGGACGCCTTAGTGCTAACTTGTACACACCCGCCCAGAGGTCTGTGCAAGCGCAAAAAGGCTACGGCTACACTACATGCCTTCTGCGCAGGAGCACGTCCACACCTCAAAGCACTTGGCAACAGCGATGTGCTTCTGCGCTAGCAAGCGTCCACACTGCATGGGTGCTCTTGCACACGCACTGATGGCCATTCACAGACCGGCCACCCGACCACCTGTGCTTTCTCCTCTGGAGCGTCCACGCTGCATGGGTGCTCTTGCACACGCACTGATGGCCATTCACAGACCGGCCACCCGACCACCTGTGCTTTCTCCACACTTGCCTTCCGCACAAGAACTCTTGCACCGAAGGGAGTTACGCCTCATGAAACGAGGCTTACAGGGCCTGACAACAAAGGGTTCTGGGGTCAGCTGATCCCCGTCTAGATGACTGCGCTGTGCCGACAATCAGCTGAATGACACAGCGCGGCGGCCATTTGATGTAAATGAAGCGGCGATTATGGGTCTGTCTACACTACAAAGTTAATTTGAACTAACAGACGTTAGTTCAAATTAACTTTGATAGGCGCTACACTAGCAAACCGCTAGTTCAAACTTAATTCGAACTAGCGGAGCGCTTAGTTTGAACTAGGTAAACCTCATTGTACAAGGACTAAGCCTAGTTCGAACTTACTAGTTCGAATTAAGGGGTGTGTAGCCCCTTAATTCGAACTAGTGGGAGGCTAGCCCTCCCCAGCTTTCCCTGGTGGCCACTCTGTCCAACACCAGGGAAACTCTATTGCCCCCCTCCTGGCCCCGGACGCCTTAAAGGGGCACGTGCTGGCTACGGTGCCCGTGCCAGGTGCAAGCCTGCCAGCACCCAGCTAGCAGACCCTGCACCTGGCACAGATCGAGCCCCCCAGCCCTCCCCCTCTTCCCAGGACCAGGCTGGCGGCTCCCGGGAGCTTGCCCGGGACCGCAAGAGGCGGGCACCTGCCTGGGCTAGTGCGG